GCATTCGCCTGGCTTCGGACACGCGCCGCCAGCACCCCCGGCATTGAATCGATCTGACAGGCCCGCCGCGGACAGAACCCCAGGCGGCGCGCCGCAGCCCTCTCCGACAACAAGACGGAACGCCATAAAACTCAATTGGCCCCAGAATTCGGCGGCCTACTCGCGCTGGCCCCACCGAGTCGCAGGCCCGGTTCAAGACGCAGAGAGGCTACCATGAATCCCCCCCCCGTCTCCGCCCAGGCCAGCACAGCCGCGCAATGGCTGGGGGGGGGCAGCATGGGGGGGCACGAAAGCACTCACAGTGATAACCCCGATGCTTGCACTCACGAACAAATCCTACCCTGCAGTAGGCTTGCCAATTTCCGACGCTGCGGCAATGGCAACGAAGGGTTCCGAAGCTCGCTTGCGACACCACACCTCTGCCAGAAGCCTGCCATTGCCAACCAGATGTAGTTCTTGAGCGGCGACGGTAGATGCGACGCACACGTTCCAAGAAATCCCCCACCCGAAACCATCCCGAGCCACTGAAAGCGACAGTGCGACTTGGATCCCGCCGCCCATGATCAAGTCTGCCGACTGCCACAAGGTCCCGACCATTCTTGGCGCGAGCCCGGGCGCGGCAAACCGAGCTGGGCAGCCGCCCCACATAAGCGGTCCAAGGGCGACCCGCGTCCATTCCCAAGGCCGCCGGGGTGCCGACATACCTGCTCGGCGACGGTAGAACCAGACGACTCGCTTGAGCCTCCAGGATTTGAGCCGAAGCTTCTCGAAGCCGAAGCACCCGGCGAATAACCCATCCGTGTAGACTCTTCCCCACCACTAGCCATGGATAACCTCTTGTCCCTCAGCGACTTGCCAACCATGTGCGATGATGACGCATGCTGCGAGACTGCAGCGATGCCAAGACTGTGGCCACGATCATATTATCCCATTAGCCTCGCCTCTCGTAGGTTTTGACCTGACTGGCACCGCACTTGGCAGTATTAGGAGTAGCGCCACCCACTGCGCCACTCATGCTGGAAATAACGGAAGTAGCGTCACCCACTGCACCGCCCGCGTTGGAACTAACGGAAGTAGTTCCACCCACTGCACCACCCACGTTAAGAGTAAAGACTGCTGGGGCTGCTCGATATTGCACCTGCGGGTCGTGGGCGCGGACCTGGCCATCCTCAAACAGCCTCGGCATAGTGCGCGCCAACAGCTGATCACGTGTGGCTGTCGTCGGGACCGCCACTCTCGTCCATGTCGCTGATGGCTGTGTCCGAGGTATGTTGTTCCTGGCGTTCGTTCAGGCCCTGATGGTGGAAGTTCGCGATGCATGCGCTGAACTGATACTCGTACTGGAGGAGGCATCCTCGATTGCACTGCTGGCTGCTTTTTGCTCTCCATGTACTCTCCCAACTGATGCTGGGGGTCGTGGGCGGGCTGCTGGGTCAGGCTGACGCGCAGTGGGCGGAGAGACATTCGCTTGTTGACTGCGGAAGTTCGACCAGGCCGTCTGTAACTCCTGGAGGCGGGAGCTGAGGGACTGGAACATAAATGTCTAGCCGCCTTCCCTAGCAGAGGGCACCGCCTGCACGATTCTCTCCAATCTCCCCATGGCGCATGACAAGGACTGACCACTCGCATCCGTGGCTAGACTGTCACCGACGCCAATACAGCAGCCCTTGCTATTGTGACTTCGCCATGAACATGAGCAAGCTCTGCCGTAGCGTGCTCCAAATCTCGAGACGTAAATGCATGCTTGATGTCGGGATTGTCAGTTTGCTGCCAGAGTGCCGGTACCTCCCGCGTCTTAGCTGCCTGGCGATCCAACGAACGACGCAAGACGTCATCTGGCGTTCGCAGGAGGGCGTTCAGCCGCTTCTGCTGCTGCCAACTCCTGCTTGGCTGCAGGCACCAAAGGGCTGTTATCCTCCAGCCCCAGACGACGCAGCGCGGCACAAGTGCTTGTGTTTATTGCGACAGACTCAGAGGCGCGACCCTCTTCGATCTGGATCCTCCGACATTATGCTGCCATGGGGGGTCCTCCAGACGGCGATGCTTTGCGAGTCCTAGAAGCGGACCGTTCTGCAAGCAATGGAAGGCCATTCGGATCGGGCTGCCTTTCCTGTCCCTACCGCACATGTAGCATCGAGGGTCCCGAAGTTGAATTGCGACCGATATCACACGAGCAGCAACGCAAGTCCACCGTGGCTCCTGGCCTGCATCATGTCCGCGTCCCGCACCTCCTTCACCAACACACGCCCCCGTAGGAGGAGGAGGAGGAGGAGGAGGAGGAGGAGGAGGAGGAGGAGGGGGAGGAGGCAAGGGGAGGGAGGAGGGAGGAGGGACGAGGAGGGGGAGGAAGGAGGACAATAAGAAACCAAACATGTATCAACGATAATGCAATACACCCTCCCGTCAATTCTCCTCCTCAGTAGCCCCTGAATCAGTCCATGTTCACTGCGCGATGCGCACACCTTGAAAGACGATCCACCTGCGACGCCTTTCTTACCTACTAACCAGGATATGGAAATGTCAAAAAGCTACACCAAGCTACACCGACAGATGGCAGCTGACTGTCAAAAAGTGGTTATCGCCTTGGCGCCGCGCACATCAGCTTCAGGACTCACACTAAAATTGTGTCCCAACTATTATGTCTTGTTGGGCACCCGATTTGAAGAGACAAAGCCCCGCGTCACCTCACCTCACTCCCACCTCTCCTCCCTCATCCCATCACTGCCTCTTCCCTTCGTATGCCCATTTGGGCACACCCCTCACCAGCAGTGTGACCGCATAGGGAGCTCCACATAAATCCCAGCGGCAGGGTCTGCATGCGGGCGTCACCACCGTTTCGGCACACGCCTCACACGCTTCGTGGCCCCATAGAGAGCTCCACCAGAGGCCCCAATCACCAGGTCTGCATTAGGGCGTCGCACAGGTTCGGCAAATCCCTCACACGCCACGTTGCCCCAAAGGAAGCTCCACCTACGGCCCTGTTATCCAGATCCGCATGTGGGCGCCACCTCAATTTCGGCACGCCCCTCAGCCGTTTAGTGGCCACATGGGGGGCTCCACCACATGCCCCCATGACAGGGTCCGCATGTGGGCGTCACCACCGTTTCGGCACGCCTCAAACGCTTTGGGACCCAAAAGGAGTTTCACCGAAGGCCCCAGCGGTTGGGTCCGCGTGTGGACGTCTCCACCGTTTCGGCACACCCCTCACGCGTTTCGTGGGGCCCCATGGAGAGCTCCACCTGAGGCCCCAGTGACCAGGTCCCGATGTGGGCGTCATCACCGTTTCGGCATACCCCTCAGACGCTTCGTGGCCCGATAGGGATGTCCACCTGCGGCCCCAGCGACAGGGTTCACATGTGGACGTCACCTCCGTTTCGGCACACCCCTCACAGGATTCGTCGCCCATGTCCTACAGCCCCAATGGCAGGGTCCACATGTGGGCGTCACCACTGCTTCTACACACCCTTCACACGATTCGTGGCCCAATCACCTATGAGCCTCGATGGCTGAGTCCGCATGTTGGCGCCGCCACAGTTTCGGCACACCCGTCACACGCTTCGTGGCCGCATAGGGAGCTCCACCTAAGGGCCCAGTGGGTTCGCATGTGGGCGTCAACACCGTTTCGGCAGGCCCTCACACGCTTCATGGTCCCATAGAAAGTTCCACCTCATGCCCCAATGACAGGGTCAGCATGTGGGCGTTACCACCGTTTCGGAAAAACCCTCACACGCGTCGTGGCCCCCTCACCTAAAGCCCCCAATGGCAGGGTCCACATGTGGGCGTCACCACCGGTCCACCACACCTTTCACAGGCTTCGTGGCCTAATAGAGAGCTCCCCCTACGATCCCAGTGACAAAGTCCAAATGTGGGCGTCACCACCGTTTCGGCACACCCCTTCACACGCCGCGTGGCCCCGCAGGGAGCTCAGGGAGGAGAGTGGAACCTGAACATCATACCGAAGATGAGGGAGGAGTGGGGGATCCTGATCCTCGTTGCTCTCCTCGTTCGGCTTCCTCCTTCTCCTCCTCATCCTCATCCTCATCCTCATCCTCATCCGCCTCCTCCTCCTCCTCCTCTGCGTCCTTCCTTCCTCCTCTTCCTCCTCCCCCTCTCGTTCTCCTTCTCCTCCTCATCTTCCTCGTCATCCTCGTCGTCCTCCTCCTTGTCGTCGTCATCATAGCGTTGGGCGGGGAAGGCCATGTCGACGAAGGGAGGGGTGAACATGAGACAGAGCGATCATGATGGTTGGCAATAGGAAGAGACAGTCAGCATTACTTGCGCTTTGCCTGGTTACTTGTATCCCTAATATGTTGTGTCGTTGCTCAGCTGACCCATCACCCCCGCCTGGACCGCCACAGATCCCAGCAAGGTCAAAGAGCGGGACCTTCCCAATATTGCACGCCATGGCAAATAAGCTCCGCTGAACAGACTGATTCAAGAGAACCACGCGAGGGCGCGCGCAGCGTTTCAGCGAACGCTCGCGCGAGCCAAATTCGATTTGGTCTGTGGCAGATACGCTGGCCAACTCAACGAAACGGCAAACTGGCGGCGGCAGCAAAAAGCGGCAGAGAAACTCGGGGGCGGCCAAGGGGGGGCGTCAAAGAGGGGGGGGGGGAGGGGGGGGGGGGGCGCAAATCATGGCCGGCGGCACGTGCGCGGCCCAGGAAGGGGGCCGGGGACGTCATGAGACAAGAAGAGGCGCCACGAGATCTGGGGAGACATCATGGCCCCCGCCATGATATCCACCCCCCCCTATGACTACCTACCAGACCACCCCAACCCAACCCAACCCCAACCCAACCATGATATCCAACCCCGGACCCCCCCCACACTAGAAATCGAGGGTAAATTTGACCCTTCGGGTTGGGTTGGGGTGGTTTGGTGGGTGGTGACCCTAATCATCACCCCCCTCCTTGCCACCCCCGACAGTATCGACTTGCTTCGCATCGCCTCCCGGTAAGGCTGGTGAAGAGCCCCCCGCGCGGGCGCGGCCGGCGGGCCTAGATGGCGAGGCAGAGTTCTGCGCCCGAGTACCTCCGGGAGGGGGCGGGCCGCCGACGTGCCAGGGGAGGGGAGGGCAAGGAGGAGGAGGGGCAGAGAACGAGGAGGAAGAGGAGCGAGGAAGACAGGGAGGAGGGCAGGCAGGGAGTGGGGGAGGAGGAGAGGAGAAACGAGGAGGAGGAGAAACGAGGAGAAACGAGGAGGAGGAGGAGGAGGAGGAGGGGAGAAGGGGCAAGCGGAGCGGAGGGGAGGTCGAGGAGGGAGAACCTCGATGAGCAAGGAGGGGCAGCAGCTACAAGTGTGGAAGGGGGGATCATGACGAGGTGGTGTCCGTGGGGGGGGCTCTAATATTTCAAGACCTGGTAAGTGTGGAAACGGGCGTGTCCCTCTACAGGAGGAATATTCAAAAATAGTCTGGAAAATAGTTCCGGGACGATTCTTGACTATGATTGATCATGTTTGAAAATATGTTGACAATGCTTGGTTTCTCTGCCAATATCCGCCTGTAGGGGGACACGCCCGACCTAAGGCAAGTGGGACATGCTGCCTTCAATGGCCTGGCGGGTCGGCCCTGGTTCGCACGGCATTGGTTCTCCTCCTCCTTTTCCTGCTGTTCCTCCTCCGCGTCATCGTCATCACCGTCCTTCAACACGTGATCATTCATCATGTGCAAACCCGCAGCGGGAGATGGTGCCAAGGCATGCGCGGATTGAAGTGCTCCCACTCGGCAACATCGACCTGCGCAGCAAGAAGCTCTTGCAACACAACTTGGCAATCTGACACCATGCTCGCAGCCTCGCCAATATCTGGCAGCAGCGTGTCTAAAAAAACAACCCAAACAACGAATTGTTTGCGCAATATGCAGGACGTGAACTGGGCGACGCAAATTCGCCCTAGTGCCCGAGGGAATACCGGGTCAGCTGCAAACGATATATCCCAGGCTGGTTCACTACCGACTGCAAATCGATAATGAAGAACTGCTTGACATGTCCCGGCCTTTCTCCCCTGGACAGATCTATGAATCAGGTCGAGCATCGCCATGTCCCGTCTGGAAGACAAGGGCGAAAGCTTCAACAGCAAGAAAGCATTTGCTTTGCTTACCACGGCGGCCGTGGTCAGCTTTGACCGGGCATGGTCCAAGCCTCCAACTCTGACTTACAGGCGCGGTAGATTACCATAGTCCGACGCTCGATGGAGGACAGAGTATGAGGTCTGTACAGCAGGACCAACTGCGCACCAGCAGTGATTTTAAGAGTCCTCAAACTCGTTTTCAGCTTCCACTGGCACTCGAAGCTTCGTAGCAAAATGCAGGCCCAATACGTTGGATCCTCCCTCCTCCTCCTCCTCCTCCTCCTCCGCCTCCTCCCTCCTCCCTCCTCCTTCCTCCCTCCTTCCTCCTCCTCCTCTTTTTGTTCTTCGTCTTCTTCTTATTATTGTTCTTCTTTTATCATTATTATTCCTCCTCCTTTACGCTAGACAACCTTAGGTTACCATGTGACGTTAGTGAAAACATATGAACGCGACTCGACTCAAGCAAAAAAATGAACCTGGCGGGCGCCGCGGGCCAAGTGAGAAAACGAGAAAAGGAAAATAATAGCTCATTTAGTAGGCGCCCGCCAGGTCGAAGTTCAGCTCTGGTACCTTTGTACCCTCTCCGCCCCACCTCGACTCATGTAAGATAGCCATCCCTACATTATAGGCACCTGCTGCTGAAGCACTGGTAATTAGTAAACGCAAACGATAAGTGGAGCGTGGGGAGTTCGAGCTGAAGACAGGCACTGCTGAAATTTACTGGGCTGTGTGTGGTCGGCAGTCCACAGTGGGAATGACAAGTCCTCCCCCTACCGATGTGCCAAAATGGCAACTCACTGTAACCAGCATGATCAGCTGGGAGGAAATAAGTGCATAGCCAGGTCAGCTAGGCACAAAAACCTTCCACCTCCACCACAAACATGGTGCAGATCATCCCCCTCCTCCAGGTCCATGCTGCGAACAGCACAAAGGTAAAAAAGAATCAGTCCCACGTGGAGACCAAAGTCTGCAAAGTGAGTGCTGCAGTAAGAGCTTTGGAATTGCACCCCTAACTTTCAAAAGAGCGTGCAATATGTGGGCTGTACTCGGGTTTTAAAGGTGCACCCCTAACCTGCAAAAAAAGAGCTTGCATAGTAGAGATCCTCTTCCGCGGTCATGACGCACGCTTTAGTGAATACACTTTGCGCAGGCTGCTTTGCGGGGGGCTTATGCGTGGGCAGGCTGTCCACGTGAAGCCTGGTGCAAAAATAAGAAAAAATGAGAGAGAGAGAGAGAGTGAAGGCTTCTTTGCTGCGTAAGCCGGCACTGCTGCCGTGCAACACGAATAGCACGATGAGAGTACCTTACGTGCTGCCTGGATGTGTCCGAGGCTGCATGTGTAGGTGTGCAATGTGCGCTGCTAGCTGTCGGTACAGCGTGTACTGAGAAATTGACACTCGCTGAAATAGTGTTGCCTGGCTGTGTCCGAGGCTGCGTGTGCGATGGGATTTTGAACGTTAACCCGTAACCTCAAGAGTAGAGAGCGCGCAATATTGGGGCTGCGACAGGGTTTTGTAGGTTAACCCCGAACCTGAGGGGAGAGGCCCACGAGGATGCGAATAAGGAGGATGGAGGACAAGGGAGATGTGCACGAGAATAAAAAACAAGCAGTCCGAGGGCTGCCACCCAGGGCTTTGTGGGCGACCACCCTTTTCTTAGTATTTGCTGGGGCTTGTGCGTGGGCAGACTGCTCACATACAGCCTGGTGCAGCAACAAGAAAAAATGAGAGGGCGTGAAGGCTTGCTGCTGCGTAAGACGGTACTGCTGCCGAGCTGCGAGTACTCTGTGCGCTGCAAGAGGGCTTTTAAGGTTTACCCCTGACCTATGAAATTAAGGCATGCGTTATGTGGGCTGCTACCCAGGGTTTTGTAGGGTGACCCCGGACCTATGTAGTAGGCTCCTCCTCCGATACCACCGCAGTAGAAGAGTAATCAGCCTCCGCTTCCACGAGTAGCAAAGTGAGAGTACCATACTTGCGGCCTTGCTGTGTCCGAGGCTGCATGTGTAGGTGTGCAGTGCGCCGCTAGCTGTCCGTACAATGCGAACTAGAAAATGGCAGTCGCTGAAATAGTGTTGTCTGGCCGTGTCCGAGGCTGCGTGTGCGATGGGGTTTTGAAGGCTAACCCTTAACCTCAAAAGTAGAGAGCGCGCCATCTCTGGGCTGCGACCCAGGGTGTTGTAGGTTAAGCCCGAACCTGAGGGGAGAGGTCCACGAGGATGCGAACAAGGAGGAGGGAGGACAAGGGAGATGTGCACGAGAATAAAAACAAGCAGTCCTAGGGCTGCTGCCCAGGGCTTTGTGGGCGAACCCCAACCTTTTATTACTATGTGCCACTGACGTGTGAAAGGAGCCGCGAGGAGGAAGAGGGACGGTGTATTGCAGGTCAGTGGTAATGGTATACAGACTGACTGCTGAATGGCTGTACTGCCATTGAGTATGGGTCCTTCTGCGGTAATTCCTTCTCCTCCTCTCCCTGAGCCTTCCTGCTCAGTGTCCGAGTCCATCCTCCTCCTCCTCCTCCGCCTCCTCCTCCGCCTCCTCCTCCTCCGCACCATCTTTCATCACCCATCCTCGTAATCCCTCAATATGCATCTTCCCTTCTCTCCCCTCCCCACCCTTCTCCCCACACCCTCTCGCTCCTTCTAGGCCTGTCGTCCGAGCTCAGGGCCCCTTGGGTGCAGCTGCCAGGCAGCTGCGAGGCCCCTCACCCGCGCCTGCCCCACGCGACAGCCGCCAACACGGCTATCCGTGCAATATGCGATTCAGCGAATCGCGAATCGGCTGGACACAGACGTGCCCGCGCGAAGCGCTCGCTCGCGCGAGTGCTTGTGCGAGTTGCTGGAGCGCAAGGCTCCTCGCAGCTCACCACGGTCGTGGCCCAGATACGGTGCAGTCATCGTGGCAGCGATCTCCTGCATCGTCGCCAGGGCTGGGGTCTACGTAGCAGCGTCCGCCGAAGTGCAGCACATGAATTGGCAGTCCCGCGGCACGTGAAGAACATGCCCTCCGACAAGGGGGGCCACAGGGACGTCAAGAGCAGGCTCCACAAGCACCGTGGCAGGATGCCAGACCCAGAAGCAAGGCGCCGAAGGGCGCGGGCAAGGACGACAAGGGCAAGATCTACGACGAGAACGACGAGAACAAGGCGAACGCCAGGCAGAAAGAGTCCACGTCGACCTTCCAGCTCAAGTCAGGGACACGTAAGACTCGGGTTCGGGGGACGCGGGTTGGCCTGGCGAGACCTTTCAGGAAATGATGAGACCGAATCTGAAATGTGACGCGAACTCCCACTGCAAACATCCCGTGAGAATTGGACCGTCTAAATCCAGGACGAGCTCGTCAAAAAAAAGTCGGCAAAACCAAGATCCGCCGAACTCGAGTTGCACGATTTCCTGATCAAAGAGACCAAGCAGGAGTCGGAGGACGAGGAAGAGAACTGGCAGTAGAACATCTCAGCCAAGGACCTCCTCCACATACGCATCGGGAGCTGCACCCTATCCGATGTGGCGTACCCCACCACTGCCTACGGCTTCGAACATGGAGAAACCGGCAGAAGGCGGCGGCAAGGCTGGAGGCGTTGGACACCCTGATTCACGATGGCCACCAGGCGGGCCAGTCGACAGCCGGCGCGGCCCTGGAGTACTCCATCACGCTCACCATGTATCCGACCAGATCTCCAAGCAGGATCAAGCTATTGCGAGGGCAACTAGAGAGGCTGGTAACAGCTACGGAGGATCTCGACAAAACAGCGGTCATGCTCGAAAAATCTCGAAAAATGTCGCGCGACGACGCTGGCTTAATCAGCGCCCGGCCGCCCCGCTACCCTCGCCCGCGGCGCCGGCCGCACAACCACTCACTCGCCAGGCAGCACCATCACCAGCCGTGTCGACGGCCCGCAAGCAGGAGGTCAATCAGGCGCTGCCGACCCTGTCGAGCCGAGTGGACGCGCTCGAGGTCTCC